AAGAAAATATCTGTTTCAAGACGGTTGACCGGTGGCATCCCTAGGTGGGTGTGGAGGGTGTGTGCTGCACTGGGTGACAGCTATCACACAATGTGACACCGGACCCGCTCCACGAACAGGAAAGTTATAAAGCAAGCCGGCGATCCCCGCAAGATGGATCGAATCTGCGGATTGAGCATAATGGATCAGAGTCCGATCCATTATGCTCCCAAATCCGCAGATCTGGTCCATCTTGTGGGGATTGTCGGCTTGCAACCTATATGGGGTTAACTGATCTAGGCAGGGCTGTGCAAGATCCGGGACTTGTTTGTAACCAGGAAATGCGGCTGCGATGGCAGGAACCTCCTCCATCTGACATTAGTTCTGGAGCTTCCGCAGACCGGACTGGTGTTGAAAGATCACTTAACCTCGTATAGGTTGCAAGGCGACGATCCCCGCAAGATGGATCTGCAGATTGGGGAGCATAATGGATTGGACTTCGATCCATTATGCTCAATCCACAGATCTAATCCATCTTGCGGGGATCGTCGGAGGGGTGACACCAAGTATTACCGCACAGGGTGACACCAACCCTAGGGACGCTCCTGGGTTTGACCTTTTTTAAGTTACTTTTCAAACATTTTCACATTTGTATGTCATATTTATAGAATAAGAATTTAAAATCTACAAATTTTGCCAGTGGGTGTTTCAGAAAAGTTTCATGCTGCCATTTGAAACCCATGCTCTTATATAACCCATGAGCGGCCTGATGGCCCAATGTTGTCTCCAAGACCACTGCGCTGCAACCACGATTCCGAGCAAAATCAATGACTGTTCTACATAGCGCTTTGGCAATTCCTTTGCCTCGATGGCTCTGAGCAACAGACATCCTCCTCAGTTCAATATGGTTCTCCCCTCCTGCGTGAGCTGATGGTATGGCCACCACCATCCCAACAACTTCTCCTAAGGACTCGGCTACCCAAAAGCAGTAACCATCTCTTTGCAGGTAGTATTTCTGAATGTCCATCATGTCACTGGAGAGGGAATGTCGAACATAGGAATCGTAGAGGTCTCTAGTGCCAAACCACATGGCAATGAAGACCAGAAGAAGAACTACAAGAGACAAGGTGAGCGATCCAGTGATGAAGAAGGGCACAAGGAATACGGCAAGTAAAAATATCCGGATATTGGTCAGAGAAAGTCCATGTTTGAAGGCCACTCGAGTATGTTCCAACGTTCCCTCAGCGAACAGCTCCCTCACTCTATCGTAGTCACAGTCCTTGTACAGACGTATGATGTAGTCAGACATGTTTTGTTCTGTAGGTCATAAACAGATAAATATTCAACACTGTTTCAGACATTTCATTTTATAGTGATCTGTGTATTGGAAATTAGATAAATTGTCCTTTAGGAGAACGTGCCATTCTTGGAAATTCTAAAAAGGTGACCATTTTCCCTGAGGTGAAGATACAGTGATATGTAATGAACTACTTAATTCTGCAATTTTGATCTACAGGGATTCAGAAAAAAACTCAAAGCAACAGGCCAAATCTTGGGTGGGTTCTAGGTGATCAGTGGCACTTTACTTCTTTTTCAAGTCAACATTCTGTATGAGGTCCTATCAGACAGTTGGGGTAAAATACTGCTTCTGTAAGTGGCAAGTACCTATTACCTCAAAACACAGGGAGTACTTCAGAAGCCACGGGAGCTCCTTAGATACATGGGGTTGATTTACTACAATTGGAGAATGCAAAATCTGGGGCAGTTGTGCAAGGTAGCCAATCAGCTTCTAACTTCAGTTTGTTCAATTAAACCTGGAAGCTGATTGGTTTCTACGCAGAGTTGCAGCAGATTTTGCACACTCCAGATTTAGTAAATCCGCAGAGCTTAGACATCTGCCCAATTCATCACCAATCCTAGTTGTCACCATTCAGCAGTCCAACACGGGAACTTCAGGAACCACTTGCCAACCCGCCATGGTACATTTCCTGCAGCATGGTGGCACGTGCAGGTTTAGTCACGTGTATATACATGATTGGGCTGCTCCGGTAACCTGTATCATGTGATTGCTCTGATTCATTACAGCGATCACATGATAACAATGTAAACAACCCGGTCATGGATGTCTTTATTCATGAGCAGCTCGCTTACTGTTGTGATCTGTGATTGGCCCACAGCAATTACATGGTATCTGGCTACCTGTACCATGGTATTAGCTGTAGCCAATCACAGATTACAACTATAAGCGATCTGTTTATGAATGAGAAACCCAATGATGACAGCTAAAAACTAATGCTTATACAGTGATCTTAACTGTATAAGCAATACCTGTGTAAAAAAAAAAACTCCTCCTCCCTGATAACCCCCCAGAGTAGTACATTGTCATTATGGAGACACTAAGCTACACTGATTACAGGATGTGATAAAAAAAAAATAAATGATAAACATTAAATTAGTTACTTTATTTTTTTTTATCTTTCAGTGTCCCTGATCACTGCCACACCAGTCATATGATGACGTTGTACGAGTGTGTTAAAAAAAAAATCTATTTAATTTCTTCATTTTCTAAAAAATTACGTCAAATAATTTGCCATGCCTCTTACTAAATACTTCAAGACTGTCTACTTTCCAAAAATGGGTCATTTGGGGGGACATTTATACTATCCTGGCGGTTTAGGGCCTCAAGAAATTAGATTGGCCGTCAGTACATCAAGAATGATAAATTTTCAAATATATATCCATAGTTCATAGACGCTATAACTTTCACACAAACCAATTAATATACATTTACAGGGCGGCAGGCGCCTGTGCGCAAAATCACGAATATATACGTGATTTTGCACATCCGGGTAGGGGGCACGCGTGCCCTAACTGCGCCGCCATTCACGGCCCCGGATGTCAATCACAGGGTCCCGGCTGGTAATTACCCGCCGGCGCCCGGTGATTACCGGGCATCTCCAATGGGGAGGAAGACTGTTTTGTTTTCTAACAGTCCTCCTCCCTGTCAGCTCGGGCACACTGCACAGCACAGCCATGCAGAGCAGTGTGATTACAGTGAAGCACACAGACCCCCCTCCTAGTAAAACACTCCCAGCACACAGTTAACCCTTTTGATCACCCCTCATGTTAACCCCTTCCTGCTCAGTGCCATTAGTACAATGTGTGCTTTTTTTAATTTTAGCACTGATCACTGTATTGGTGTCACTGGGGATGTCCGTGACACCAAGTCAATCCCCCCCCCAGTGTCAGAATGTCTGCTGCTGTCCTGCTATAAGTCGCTGATCGCCGCCATTGCTAATAAAAAAAAAATCTCAGTATATATACCGCCATCTGTAGACGCTGTAACTTTCACATAAACTAATTCATTTACATCTATTGGGATTTTTTTTTTTTTTAGCAAAGACACGGAGCAGGGGACATTTTGGTCTAAATTTATGATGAAATTTGTTTTTTAACATTTTTTTACTGGACATGTTTAATAGCAAAAAGTCCAAAATATATATTTTTTTCCTCACAATTGTTGCTCTTTGTTTGCTTATAGCGCTAAAAATAAAAACCGCACAGACAATCAAATACCACCGAAAGAAAGCTCAATTCATGGGGGAAAAAAGGACGTGAGTGCAGCGTTGCATGACTGTGCAATTGTGAGATAATTAATGCAGCTTTGTAACGCAAAAAATTGCCTGATCGGGAAGAGGGGGGAAATCCCCAGGAGGGCAAGGGGTTAAAAACCCAGTCGTGATCAATTACCACCCAAAAAAAATCTCCATGATATAAATTTCATTTGTGTACAGTGTTGCATGACCGAGCAATAACCAGTTAAAGTAGTGCAGTGCCGAATAGCAAAAAAAAAAAATGGCTTGGTCATGAAAGGGGGTTAAAACTTTTCTGGTTAAGAAGGTTCTGCCATGGGACTGTTGAATGGCAAACTCTTAGCTCCTTGAAGATATGGGACCTTGGTCACTGGGCATCCGGCCATGATATAGGAACACATTTTGAATGCCGATTTTGGTAAAATCTTCTCCTATAAAAGTCAGTTTAACCCCTTCCCGCCAGCCCTTTAAAAGTTTCAGACGTTGGTAGGCAGGGCGGTTGGGGCGTGGTCTAGGGATCATGTGACTACCGTGACGCGTCATCATGGCGGTCACATGATCAGGAAAGGTCCCGATCGAAAGAGCGGACCGGGACCTTTCCGTGAGTACTGGACATGCGCGCAGGGAGCAAGCAGGGCCCGTGCTCTCAGCACATATGTTTTTTGTTACATGAATGCAAATGTGCGGCCGCCGATCGGCATCTAGGCCCAGATGCCGGGATGCCGCACATTTTTGTGCGGCCATCGCAGAGGGGTTAATAAAGTCCTGGATTCTTTCTTGGATACACAGAATATAATTGGATATAACATTTATAGGGAACGTTGATCCAGGGAATATCCGATTGCCTCTCGGGGGATCAGGAAGGAATTTTTCCCTGAAAAGTTTGGGATGCACTTGGCCAAACACCGACAGTTTTTAAAATTCATTAAAGCGGAGTTCCGGTCACACTGTGAAAAAAGAAGTCAACAGAAGTCAAAGAAGTTACAAAAACTAACTACTGACTTTTACCCGCCTCCAGCCCGCCATATAAGGGAATGATGGGCGGTGGTTCTCTCGTTCTGGGCGGATGTCATATGACGTCCTCCCGCTCTCACCCCTGGGACATGGTGGATCACCGATCTGCAGAAAGAGCCGATGACTTTGGCTCTGTCATGTGATCAGCTGTCTCCAATCACCACTGATCGCATGTACCTTAAATGGGAAATGCCGGTTATCGCCATTCCTCTCCTCGCACTGACAGCTCGTGAAGAGAGGAGAGCCGGTAATCAGCATTCCTCAGAGGGAACATCTACACTGATGATCAGTGTAGCCCCATCAGTGCCACCTGCCAGTGCCCATCAGTGCACATCAATGCCACATATCAGTGCCCATCTGAGCTGCTTTTCAGTGCCACCTATCAGAGCCATATATGTGTACTGCATTTCAGTGCCCATCAGTGATGCCTGTCAATGCCCATCAGTGCCACCTATCAGTGCCCATCCTTGCAGCCTCATTAGCACACATCAGTGAAGGAGAAAAATCACTTATTTACAAATTTTTATAACAAAAAACTTTTTTTTTTTCAAGATTTTCAGTGGTTTTTGGTTTGTTTAAAAAAAAATAAAAATCCCAGAGGTGATTAAACACCACCAAAATAAAGCTCTATCTGTCTCAAAAAAAGATACAAATGTCATATGGGTGCAGTGTCGCATGACCGCGGCAATTGTCATTCAAAGTGTGACAGTGCTGAAAGCTGAAAATTGGCCTGGGCAGGAAGGGGGTGAGAGCGCCCTGTAGGCAAGTGGCTAAAAAACAGCCACTTACCTGTCCCTCGATTTTGTGGTGTCCTCCCGCAGCACATTTCACCAGCCGTCTGGTGTTCCAGGCTCCGGCATCTTCAGTGTGGGCCCCTGGCTGTGACAGCTGCGCTTTGTGAATGGTCCCGCACTCTTCTGGGACTTGTCATGTGTCCCAGAAGACTACGGGGCGGGGTGGGGGACAACTTCCGATTGCCTAGGTGATCGCAGTGGAAGTGGCAGCCAGTACCTGTCTATTTCGGGTACCTGCCCCCCCCCCCCCACTTCCTAAAGGTGCCAATCCTTAATGGGGAGTGGGAGACCAGTCTTTAAAGCGGAACTTCCCCTTCTGGGTGGAGCTCCGCTTTAATGCAGCTGGTATTTTTGCATTGACGTCAATGGGAACTTGACTTTGCATGAAAGTCTATGACACGCGATTTTGCATTGACGTTACCAGGGGGCAATTTTGCATGAAAGTCACAACTTTGCATGTAGCTGCAATATTACCGACACTTTTTTTTCCTATCGGCAGGCTGAGATTTGTAGCCCCCCAACCAAGGCAGGCTGGGATTTGTAGCCCCCCAACCAAGGCGGGCTGGGATTTATAGCCCCCCCAACCAAGGCAGGCTGGGATTTGTAGCCCCCCCAACCAAGGCAGGCTGGGATTTGTAGCCCCCCAACCAAGGCAGGCTGGGATTTGTAGCCCCCCAACCAAGGCAGGCTGGGATTTGTAGCCCCCCAACCAAGGCAGGCTGGGATTTGTAGCCCCCCAACCAAGGCAGGCTGGGATTTGTAGCCCCCCCCAACCAAGGCAGGCTGGGATTTGTAGCCCCCCAACCAAGGCAGGCTGGGATTTGTGCCCCCCCCAACCAAGGCAGGCTGGGATTTGTAGCCCCCAACCAAGGCATACTGGGATTTCTAGCCTCCCAACCAAGGCAGGC